CATTTTTCACAAGATCGGGCGATGTCTTCTCAGTTGGGTGGTGGCAGGGGGTCTGATCAGTGATTCTAACAAGATTGAGTGGCTTAGGCTTCTGTTCGAAGCCTGCCCTATTGATCGTGATTTGTGAATTAATCTCTGTTGATCCCCTTTTTTCTGGTTTGTGTAACTTTTGGAGCGTGTTCCTTTGTTTTTCTAGGATGGCACCTCTTGCTACGATGCCTTCCTCCTTTCTTTTGACTTTTTGGTTTCTGTTTTGATGGTTCAACGCTTGTGAACTCCTTGTGGCTTATTTTGTTCTTTCTGTTTTTAGCAATAAAATTTTCACCCTTATAAAAAAAAAATCTGTGAAGTCAGAAGTGGCTGTTAAGTGGGATAGGAAATGACCCAATTACCGTAAGTGATTCTATACCATGAGAAATCCCCATCCCTTCCTATTCTTTTTCCAGACGTCGACGAAGTTACAGCCGACAACCCTAGAAGAAACGCATTTGTACCAGCATCCAGTGGTGGAGCCACAACCACCCTAGGGAGGTCGACTGCATCCCCTTGGACTGGCAAGGCCCAACTAAAAAGTATAGCGCTATTAACACCTACTGGAATCAAGTTTCAAACTAGTGACCTCCCTTAATCCGCAAACTGCTTCAACCATCACGCCACTTACTCCTTATCGTGTCATTATTAGCATTTAACTTGTTTTATCATTCTGTAACATGTTAGTTTACTTAAATTTAAACGACCTCGTCTATTTCCCCCATCCCAATCCCTAATTCTACTACTGCCGACTTTCCTCTTCCTCGTCCATCTCCCATGTACGAAGCAAAAATCGCACAACCTCCTCCCTCAACTCGTTCATTCCTCCGCTGGTTGCTCGAGTGACCATCGTCAACCACCGTATCTTATGTAGTATCTCTATCTTCAACTCCGATTCCGACTCCAGTTCCTATCATTGGTGAGTGTTCTTTGAGCTTTCGAAATAGACAGTAAGCCGTTTAGCCGGCTATGAAAATCAATTGTTTTGTGGTGTATCCATTCGTTGGGCTTGGGGTGCTCGTACATGCTTTCTTAACTTTGATTGACTTTCATGTGAGTTAGTTTTAGTTTAGTTATAGAGAATTAGGTTTTAGAGTTAGTTGTATGGATTGGGAAACTAGAACAGAGAATTGATTCATTGGTTGAGAGCATATTTTTGGTTTATTGTTTGATTATGTGTCAAATATCCTATTTGATTTACTGCTTTAGAACAAATAAATGATTTATTGTGTACTTTGGTTTTGAATTTGTATATTTGCTATTATGGAGAGATATTATCCAAAGAAGTCTCGGATAACCACGAATGCTCCTGAAGGTGAAGATAGTGGATTGAATTCATTAGCACCTGGACAAGATTCTAATTCAACTCCTTCTACTCCATCAGTGTCACAACCTCTCTCGGTAAGTCACTCTATGCCTAGCATTGCATCTAGAGAGAATGAAATTGATGTGAACTCTTTGAAAGCTGATCCGGGGTTAAGAGAACAAGTAGCACTATTTCATCCTAATATTCAAGATATGATTAGAAGACATTATCTTCAAAAAGGTGTTTGTCAACCTGATCATGCTTTTCCATCTAGAGATATTGGGTGAAGCTTGCGAAGCTTTAAGTCTTCTTGGTACAAAAAAATATCATTGGTTGGAATATAGTATTGCAAAGGATGTTGCATATTGTTTGCATTGTTATTTGTTTAGGAGCGATGATGGTAAGAAGGGTGGAGGTGCTTCTTTCATTTCTAAGGGCTTTAGAGCTTGGAATAGATGAGATGAGAGTCGTGAGAAGCATGTTGGACATGTCAATAGTGAACACAACAAAGCTGTGAGAAAATGTGAGGATTTGTTGAAGCAGTCTCAAAGCATTGGAGTTTCTTTATTTAAACAATCAGATCAAGCAAAGATGAATTATAAAATTTGTTTGCAAGCTTCAATTGACTGCATCAGACATTGTGTATGCAAGGGAAAGCACTTCGTGGACATGATGAATCAGAGTGTTCAAAGAATAGAGGAAATTTTATTGAACTTCTGAAATTTCATGCTCGTGGTAGAGAAGATGTGGAATGTGTTGTGTTGAGAAATGCTCCCAAGAACCTTCAAATGACTTCTCCAGACATACAAAAGGATATTGTACATGCAATTGCAACTGAAGTAACAAAGCAAATCATATGCGACATTGGTGATGATGTTTTTTCTATTTTGGTGGAAGAAGCTCGTGATACATCAATCATAGAGCAAATGGCTATTGTGTTGCGATATGTAAATGAAGAAGGATATGTGATGGAGAGGTTTCTTGGGATTGCTCATGTTGCAGATACAAAAGCATTGACTCTTAAGATGGAAATTGAATCAATGCTTGTGACAAATGGGTTGAGCTTGTCAAAAATAAGAGGACAAGGTTATGATGGGGCAAGCAATATGAGTGGGGAAATCAATGGACTCAAGACTTTGATTTTGGCAGAAAATTCATAAGCATATTATGTTCATTGTTTTGCTCATCAACTTCAATTAATCTTGTTGCAGTTGCTAGACGTCATAGTGACATTGGTGGTTTCTTTAAGGTTGTGAGTGACTTGATTAATTTGGTTGGAGGATCGTGTAAACGAATGGAAAAAATTCGAGAATGTCAAGCTGCTAAAGTTGTTGAGGCTTTATATCATGGTGAACTTGAGACTGGGCGAGGGTTGAATCTAGAAGTTGGCCTCAAAAGACCTTGTGATACTCGTTGGGGATCACACTTTGACACCCTCCTTAACGTGACTAGGATATATTCTTCTGTTATTGAGTGTTTGGATATCATCAAATGGGAGGGAAATTCTGATGCAAAAGCTGATGCATCTTGCTTGTTGAGGTTAGTCCAAAACTTTGATTTTGTATTCATCATGAAAATGATGATTGAAGTGCTTGCCATTACCAGTGGTTTGTCTTCAACTTCGCAAAGGAAAGACCAGGACATAGTGAATGTTATGCACCTTGTTCGTGGGTCAAAGTTTAGATTACAGGAAATGAGGGATAAAGGATGGGAATCTCTTCTTGATAGTGTGATTTCATTTTGCAACAAGGAACCTCTTCCCATTGTCAACATGAATTATTTATACTTTCCACTTGGAAAACCAAGGAGAAATGCTCAGCAAATCACCAATCTTCATCACTACAAGGTTGAGTTATTTATTACAACTGTGGATATGCAGTTACAAGAGCTAAATAGTCGCTTTGATGAGATAAACACAGATTTGCTATGTTGTGTGGCATGCTTAAATCCAGACAATTTGTTTATCGACTTTGACAAGGAGAAGTTGGTGGAGCTTGCTACTTTTTATCCTACTAAGTTCTCCAAAGATGATATTTTACATCTTGGTCTTCATCAACTTGATGCTTGTATATATGATATGAAGACAGTTGAGAGGTTTGCAGGATTAAAGGGAATTGCTGAGGTTTCTAGAGAAACAAAGAAACATCGGGTGTTTCCATTAGTCTATCGACTTCTGAAATTGGCATTGTTGCTTTCTGTTGCCACGACAAGTGTTGAAAGAGCATGTTCTGCAATGAACTATGTGAAGAACACACTCCGCAATAGGATGAGTGATGACGTCATGAATGATTTTTTGGTTGGTTACATTGAGAGTGATATCCTTGATAGTTTGGATGATGAATGTATTTTAGATATTTTTCAGACCATGAAAACACGTCGTGGGTCATTGTAAAAGATTAATATAAGTTATGTTTTTTTTTTGCACCACCTTGGCATAATTCCTGGCTACGCCACTGCCGGCATCCAACTGGTAGCGAGAGACGCCGTCCTCCCAACCACTCATCCTCCGCCGTCGTCTCGGCCGCTCATCCTCCTCCATCGTCCCGACCGCTCCGCCGTCGATCTGTGCCGGCCTTAAATCACCTGCAATTTTCGGAAACATCCGTGAGATATTACTCGTCCCACATTTCCACCCCTCATGTTTATTCTGAAACTTTATGGAACCCTAGATCTTGATTTCTCTGATAAATCGAATTCAATGAAAGTATGAAACTAAGCTTTTTAGGATAAAATATATAAGTGATGCAGCACTTATATCTTGCAGCTGGACATAGATTCCCCATTTCCCATATGCATATCTTGCTCCAGCCGGCGGAAGCATCCGCGAGATTCACCGAGGGAGACGGAAGGTTTTCTGTCGTGTGAGGGGATTGAAGTTTTTTCATTTTTAATTGATTTTTCGATAAAAAATTGTTAAAATAAAAATTAACATCAAATTAAGGGAAATTTCGTCATTTTAACAGCCATTTAACAGCTATGTAACTGAAAATTACACGGAAGGGCATATTCTTTACGTTTTAATATTAGAAGGGTACATTTGTGCAAAAAATTAGTACAGAGGTATGTTTGTTACTTTGCAATAGTAGAGGGGTACAAAATGTTATTAACCCTTTTTTTTATCTCCTAGCATTAGTTGTATATGCATTTGATTTAAGAATCCTCAAAATAAACTTTAAACATTCCCTATATTATTACCACATAATTGCAAGTTATTTAAGACGGATTACTTCAGATACGATACTGCAAATATCATAATATGCATGTTAAACAAATTTCCCTATCGACTATCAAGCGTATTTGTTTTATGATTATGTTCATCCTGTACTCGTTAAGAAGCCTTATTTACCATGGACACATGTATCTCAACCTTCGATAAAAAGAACTCGACTTGTCACGGCTGTTGCAATGTAACTAGTTATGTAGATAGGATGAACAACATCATCAAGATTTTCCCTATCAAACGACTATGGATAGCTAAATATGAAATATAATAGTAGAATTGTAAGATATCTCAAAGGAGTTGAAGCCGATGAGTTTCTTATTTTCCACTTTATATCTCAATGATGCACCAAGTAGGTATTATTATATCAATAATTTTTTTTATAATGATTATTATATCAATAAATATGTGTCTTGCCTGTCAGTCATTGGACTAAAAAAACATATAAGAGATAACCTCAGTAAATTGTTATTTTCAAGGTTGTAAGTGGAAAATCAACAAAATGAAGACTCAATCAATCAATGCCCTCTTGTTCTTCCTGATTCTCTTCCTTGTTTCTGGTGAATTTCCAACTTCATCACTCTCTAGCTCTTTCATATTTTCACTTTCAGTAATCAATCTATAACCATCAATTCAAGCCCTTGTAAGCTTAATTTGGAACAAACATATACTTGATTCTACTCTGTTTTGTTGTGTGAAGGAAATTGTTGGGGAAGGCAGTTGAGTGCAGACAAAGACAATGTAAGGGTACTCAGGTTTTGTCGCCAAGCAATATTGGAATTGGATAGCCCAATAGAATGCTCGCTTAAGCATTGTCAAAGGCAATGTTCACTAGACGATTATAGATACCATGTTTTTGGCAGATGCAATTATTCCACCATGAAATGTGACTGTTACGGATATTGTGGGCCACAATAAAAGACGAGAGTGTTTAGGTTTCTCTTTTTGCATAATTATGCCTCACATTTCGTCCGATGTTGAATGGTTTCGTTTCATAAATTGTATCAATAAATTCTCTCTTTTTCCAGTTAATTAGTGGATTTTTTTTTATTAGCGAATGATGTAGCTGGATTTTTTACTTCCAGGTTTCTCTATTTAAGGTGATGGTAAGGAATCTTTGCTGCTAAAATTCTATGATAATAGTGAAGCTAGCTTGGCACTTAATTAAAGACCAGACAATAAAGTGAACTAGAATTTACATGAATAATCACTTAAATGTGCAGTGAAATGAAATGGGCTAAATTACACGCTTGGTCACTCAAATCATACAAATCTTTCACGTTTGCCACCCGAATTACTTTTCTTTCTTATTCGCCACTAACTTTACGAATCGTTTCACGGTTGGTCACCGGCCGTTACACTCCGTTAAGTTTGTCATACGTAGCAGTCAACTATAAAGTTTGATCGTTAACTAGATGACGTGGAAATTAAAAAATATATATATATATATTCTTTCCACCTCATCATTGCACTTATTTTGTCTCTATAATTTATCATATTAATAATTTAATAAAATTTAATAAATTACAAAAATGGACCGACTCCGATCCACCAAAGGCTTCCCCACCTCCGGCGACGTCGGATTAGACGACTTCCTTCTCACCAAACCCACCGCCGACGAAGACGCTTCCGATTCCCCTACATCCGATGATGCTGCCGCCTCCAATTCCCTCGTCAATTCCAACTCCGTCGCGGAGCAAGCCCCCGAGATTTCAGGCCAAAATGGTGAAGGGGATTGGTTCGGCGTGATGACCAATGTCCTCTCCGATCTCTTCTACATGGGCGGACCAAGAAGAAGAGGAAGAAGGGGAGTGGTGGGCTGAATTCGGAGTATGATAATGGAAATGTATTCGATGGATCCAAGAAGAAAGCTAAGGTCTTGAATTTCCACTCCACTGTGGTTGCCAATGGTGGAAACTGTGTGTCGACTTCTGATGATGTAAGTTTCTCGATGCATTATCTTGTTTATGGCTATATGAATCTCTGCTCGCTTGTGTCCAGTTTTGCACTTCTGTAGCAAGATGGTTTCGTGCTAACATTAATGCTTCTTTCTACCTGTCCTTGCTGGCTTTGGAACCGGTAGTGATTGCTGTAGTAAATAATGATCAACTTATTTTTCTTCTTTGGGAAGAAAATGAACTGTCTTGTTTAATAAGCTAGAGTTTGTGAATCGCTTTACTGCGAGTAATGTATGTTATGCTTTCGATCTCTCTGGTTCTATGAAATATGCTATCTTTCCTAATTCCCTTGGTTCTGAAGTTCAAAGCTCAAAGGTGCAGTTATCTGTTGTTATCCTACAGTGAATGCAAGTTTTCGCTGCAACCTGCCATTGTAGAATCAAATCCGCATTTCACGTTTTTCGTCGAGGAAATTCCGACGAGCTACCTGCGGAGGCTTTGCCGATCCTTCCTCCCGCCGTGGCTAAATCCTCGCTGCGACCAACCAACCGCCGCACTAATTGATACGATCTAAATCTCATTTCGACCCTTCCCCAATGTTCAGGGTGCTGCTGAATCAGATTCCCAGTATCTGAAAAGGAATCTCCCAGCTCGTAGATTGCATCGAATCTGCATCTCTCTTCCGAGCCGGCCGCGGCCGCGGCAGGGACGCCGTTGTCGAGTCGACGGAGGAGGAGGAGAGGGAGAGCTCCGGGAGCCACTTGGAGGCGTAGTGAGCGACAATGGAGCCGATGAGGTCGGGGCGGACCCCTTTGGACTTGATGCCGGAGATAGTCTGGTGATTTATTAAATTTTATTAAATTATTAATATGATAAATTACATAGACAAAATACGTGCAATGATGAGGTGGAAAGAAAATTTATTTTTTTTTAATTTTTTTTAATTTCCACGTCATCTAGTTAACGGTCAAACTTTATAGTTGACTGCCACGTAGGACAAACATAACGGAGTGTAACGGCCGGGGACCAACCGTGAAACGATTCGTAAATTTAGTGGCGAATAAGAAAAAAAAGTAATTCGGGTGGCAAGCGTGAAAGATTTGTATGATTTGAGTGACTAAACGTGTAATTTAGCCGAAATGAAATATTATAAACCACGTAGTCGCATTTTTTATCGTGTCAATAGGTATTTAGTCAATTGATATCGTCAGTTCCAAGGTTGTCAACCACAGCCTCCGAATACTCTTGTTCGCTACAAAGATGACTCTCCTATTCCACCCTCTCAAAACACAGCCAAGTACCCCTAGGCAGAAATCCCTAGCAAAGGAAGAAACAATCATAAGAACTAGATTGAAGAAACTGTTAAAATGCAGGAAAAACAAAAAGCATATACGAAAAGGCATTCAACCTTGTCCGTCGTAGCTACCCTAACTGACTCTGTCTTCCATCTCTTCCTTCCTTCCACCCGCGACGAAGAGGAGAGGGAGGGGTCTTCTGCGAGGTGTGGGTGGGGCCGCCGACCATGCCCAAATCTAGATAGCCCAGCCCAAATCAATTCTTTCCAAGCCCAAACCAGTCCAATACTCACAAATCTGCATTGCAGGGCCTTCGACGAAGCAAAAGCTCTAAAATATATTTAAAAATATATTAAATCAACAAACGAAACAGACAAATAAAGGGTTAATTGCATGATTGGTAACTGAAATTACAAAATACGTTCATGTTTGGTCACTGTAAATATTTAAATCCAATTTTGGTCACTCAAATTAGTTAAATGGTTCAAGTTTGGTCACTCTCCGTCGATTTCCGTTAATTCTAGCTTACGTGGCAGTCAACTTTCCTAGTTGATCGTTAAATATGTGACGTGATAATTAAAAAATTATTAAAAATAAAAAGATAAAATTTTATATTTTCCACCTCATTATTACATTCATTGAAATAAAAATTAAAAAAATTAAAAATTAATTTATTTTCTTCACCAACCAACTGTAGTTCTCAATTAGGAATCGAGCAGAGGGCTCGGGAGTTGCCAACTCTTCTACGTTCTCGATCGACACAACGGAAGGCATGGCGGAGGCGACCGCCGAAGCAGAGTAATGGATCTTTCTTTTCTTCTGCATCCTTGAGTGGCACAGTAGCGGAGTTGGAGAAGAGAATTCCACCGATGGCGATTGGGGCAGAGCAGAGCAAAATCTAAAAGGGCGATGGGGTCGCTTCGAGCGATTGGCGAGCCAGGACTTCACTTCTTCAACCGCTTTGGGGCCAGTGTCTCACTGGAATTCTCTCCACCGGGATCAAGTCGCTTGACGTTCGCACCGAAACCAAAACCAAGGTTCGACGAGCCGCCGCGAGGAATCACTAGGTCGAGGAATTCCTATTCTCCTCCCTAAGCGCCGCTGATAAATCAAGCAACGAACTGAGCCTAGACGTCAGCGACGGGCAGAGCAGAGGAAGAGCTGCAGAGCGAGGGTCGGTGAATGCAGATGCTTCTTGTTCTCCTTCCTCAGCGCCGCTGAGAAATCCGGCACCGACTGAGCCAAGCCGGCAGCGACGGGGGAGCGGCAGAGCGAGGGTGATGGAATTAAAAATTTTCGTTGAACAAGGGCGATGGAATTTAGGGTGATGGTTTGGTCGAGCAGGAATAACGATGGAGACCCGACCCACACCGTCAGGTAACAGCCCAAAAGCTGCTCCAGAGATTCGCAATCGTGCAAGTCGCGAGCCTCTACCATCTCCGCCATCGATTGCCTGAAATCCTCCAATGGATCCTGTCACATGTGGCAGATGACATGGCGCCAACAAGGTGACAACAAGGCTGCTGCACATGTGGCATGTATGGAAGACTAGTAGCATAGAGATGCTCCTAGGATTCTCCACCTAAATGAGAGCTTAATGGTGCACTTATGAGCTACATTATGGTAGCATTATTAGAGTGCATTATGGGGGGACTTTATGGGGTGTATTGATGTAGTAGAGAGACATTATGAGGGGCATTGATGCCTTGTATGAGGAGAGGCCTATATAAGGAGCCATCTCCCTCACTTGTAACTCATTCCATCATTTTTTAGAGTAATACACACTAGAGAGTTCTCCCACTTCCTTTGTCTTTGTTCTTGTTCTTTGCTTTCAAGTGAGTTGAGAGAAAGGCTGCCTAGCGCTCTAACGGATTTGAGAGCTAGGGCCGCACGATCGAGAGTAAGGTCGTGACAAGTGGTATCAGAGTCTGGTTCGGCTTTGTGCTAGCAAAGTTGAACCTAGAGCCAGAAGGAAAGGAAGAACCTCACCAAAAATGTCGGGATCAGATAGCGGCGTTACCGACGCCGAGAAGCGCGGAAGGGATCACACCAAGAATCCCAAGCCAAAGGCTGACAAGTCAAGCACTCGTGATCCTATGGCGGCGCTAGAGAGGCGTGTTGCTCGAGTGGAAGTGAAGATTGCGGAAGACATCACTGCCATCGAGGATTTGGGAGGTAACTTCGCCCAAGTCCAAGGCGATGTTCAAGGAATGGCTGGTCGGTTGACAAGCTTGGAGATCAACCACGATGGGATGCGGGAAGAGCTTGTGGCCCTCATCAACAACACCATCACCGCCTCCATGAACAACGCCCTTGAAGTTGTGAAAGAGCAAGTCCAGGCTGAGCTGGTCGGCGTGAAGGAGGAGATTGCAGATCTCAAGAGTGAGGTCACTCTCGTGAAGAGAGCCATGGCTAGCGGACCAGCCCCGGTGCAATCCGTCCCACGTGCTGATGTTCCAAGACCGAAGAACTTCGGAGGTTCAAGGAACGCGAGGGAGTTAGAGAACTTCCTTAGGAGTCTTGAGCAATACTTCAAGGCATCCGGCATCCAAGAGGATGAGGTAAAACTTCGTACCGCTCCACTATACTTGGTCGATGTTGCAATGGTGTGGTGGAGGCGACGTGAAGCGGACGTCGAAAGAGGTACTTGTGTGATGGTAACGTGGGAAGATTTCAAGAGAGAAATCAAGAGGCAGTTCTACCCGGAGAACGTGGAGTTCGAAGCCCGTTCGAAGTTGAGAAGACTCACCCAGAGGGGTGGAGTTCGAGAATACGTGAAAGAATTCTAGGAGCTGCTTCTAGAGATCCCGGACATCACGGATAAGGAGGCCATGCACGGCTTTCTTGATGGGCTGCAACCATGGGCCAAGATGGAGATGCAACGTCGAGGAGTGCAAGACCTTGCAACTGCCATGGCCACGGCGGAG